AATACTTATGAAATTCTTTCCATTACATTATCGTTTTATCTTTTATTTATCAAAAATTAAAGCTTATAAATTGAATACCCATGATTGACTTTAATTTTAGATGTAGAAGTTTCTGATTCCTTGTAAAGAGCCTTTTTCATCTCAGTCGACTAGACAATAGTTTTCCCTGAAATCTGTGTTTCCCTGATCATGGTAAAATTAGCTTCAGAATGAACAAAGTAGTTATTGTAAAAAATTAATTGCCTTCAAATAATAACAGTTTAATTATGAATAATATCAAATTAGCTTTCATACATACATGATCAAGTTATCAATTAATTGAAGACCTATTCTAATACCGAATAATGTTGTACAGAAAAATAATGAAAGGTTTACAATTAGATAACTCAGACTGAATAAAACAACTCCAAAATCGTATATTCACTAGCGGTTAGTTTGCGGATAGGTTCTTGATGTTGTAATCAGAAATCTTGACAAACAGAGCTTATCTTTACAGTTATTTTGACAGGTAGATAAGTCAAGAAATTCTGGTATGCTTAAGTAGCTCAGTTTCTAAATAAAATTTTGAAAATACCCTTTTATTTTCGTACTTTTCATTTTCATAGCTAACTGTTTTTGTTAGAAATTAGTGAATTTCATCCTCTTTATTTCAGCTTACATTGCATTCCTAGTTAGGATCAACGAATCATTTAATAATAGCTAACTAGTATGTTTATAATAACAGACCTTCATACTATCAAAGAAAACGAAAAATTTCTTTTCATAATAATAAAATAATTATAATTTTTCGTGATATCCCACCGAGTAGAAATTTTCATTTCTGTCGTGTCCATTTATTTCGGTTCTGTATTTATTTTTACTCTGAAGAAATGACTTCGATTAAGTCACTAAATATAAAAAATACAAATTTCTTCCCCATAGGACATCACCAAAAATTACGTTTACTTTATTATCATTAACTTTCCATCAAATGTTTGATTTCTATGAAACTATGAAGTCCAATCTTGGTACTGATGTCTGCAATTTCTACTGATCTTAACAGTGAAAAGAAATCATAGCATCAAAAACAAAACAACTTACGATATATCGATTATCGTAACTCTAAATGACCAACTGACTGGTGTTTGAAATATGAACTCTCTTACTCACTAACCTTGAGTAATCATTCTTTCCACCGAATTTAGACGTTTGGTTTTTCGTAAGGTTCTGAATTCCCATCAGACAAAAGTTAGAAAATAAAATTCAACAGCCTATCAATTTTTATGGTCTTTAGGGTTTCACTAAATTATGTTAGTTCTTAGTAAGAGTTTTCTAACTAAAGAAACCTTATTCCATTGAAAATTAATTGCGACTACTTCATCTAGCTTCAAACTATTTAAGTGAATTTAACAAACATTCAAATCACTAGTTGTGTCATAAAGGTTTGATATTTATTGTGATTGAAACCATTTGCATGGTCCATACTCGAACTTCTAAAACATTTCATCTTTTACACATAATTAATAATGTAAAATATAATTCTTGCATATCATAAATTTTATTTTTATGTAAAAACAACAGGCTTGTCACTTCATTTACTGTCATACTTTTCTTAACCAATTCAATATACTAATAGCTGCTACAAATGTTCCTGTTGTAGATTTTGATAAATTATTGTTTTCAGTTGCAATATTACACATGTACAGATTATGTAAATGATTCACTACATTTGATATTTTAATATTCTGTTCATGACTAAAGAATTAACTCAGATGTCATTAAATAAATAGGCTCCATCAAACTGCAATGTTTGTTAATGAATATTTTTTCAGGCCTTTTCATGTAGTACTTCATAGATCTTCATGCTAATAATCGTGATAATAACAACAAATGTAAGCGTATACTTAATGTCACATTATAAAAAGTAAGCCATTGCTGACTTAAAAGATTAGACTATGAGATGGTGGAGAAAATTTGTAGCTCAGGTGGATGATTAAGGTGGTGTTTGGTTCTCTGAGCTGGATGCTGTTTTGGTTGTGGAGCTTTCATTGTTCTTCTGAACAACATCATCACCACAAACTTCAGATAGAAGTGAAGGATTCGAATTTCTCCACGTTTGACCTGTAGCTTGTTCTGCTAACCTCGATCTTCATTGGTTGCTGTTGACGAAAACGACAGGTTCAAGATCAACAGCAACCAATGAAGATCGAGGTTAGCAGAACAAGCTACAGGTCAAACGTGGAGAAATTCGAATCCTTCACTTCTATCTGAAGTTTGTGGTGATGATGTTGTTCAGAAGAACAATGAAAGCTCCACAACCAAAACATCCAGCTCAGAGAACCATACACCACCACAAGATTAGATTATTTTTAAAATTTATTCAGGTGATGGTGAAAAAGATTTTTCGATACTGTAATATTATTTGTGAACGAACAGTCGCTAATATGTTAGTTTGTCGTAAACAATACAGATCCCTGCATATTGCATACATCTATTCAAATTGCCACATCACATTACTACAGGGAGAGGGAACTAGCAATATTAACAATAACATTAGTAGTGGAAATGATTAGCCGTAAAATACTTGATTCCAGAAAAAAATAAATTTGCAGAATGAAATTTTAGGCAATGTGAGATAAATCGCAGCTATCACCGCAGATTCTCAACTATCTCATTAAGTCCAAGAATTGGAAACTCTGAAGTATAATTTAGAGCCTTGTTTCAGGAGACTAGGAATAAAACTTCACGAATGAGTATCGGCACGCTTGGTATTACACGGGATAAAAATAGAAACACAAGAGAAAAAGTGATAATAGCATTGAAGAAATATCAGAAAATGAATAAGTAGTTTAAACGCATAAAAGGTAATTTCAAATGCTTTGGTAAGTGTCAAAGATTGTCTTCAGTACTTGGTTTCTCAAATCATGAAAGGATACTTCTTCTTAAGGAACTAGAAGAGGAAACTGGATTGCTAGTCTTTCTGGCTACCTGGAATTAATGAAACAGAAACTCAAGTAGAGCTGCCTGATGTTGGTTACATGATACTTTTTAGAATAGCTTTTCGAGTTATGGTTAATTTGACTTTTTGATGTATTTTAAATATTATGTAGAATAATTTTAGGATGATACTTTTTTTACCGGTATATTGGACTGGTTTCAAGCACAATGTATCACGTTTACGAACAAAAATCCTCAACTTGAACGCTGATATTTTCAATTCACTTTGTCGTTATCATATCTAATACTTTATAGTTTTTAATGATTTTCCAGCTAATTTCACTTTGTAACAATAATTATCTTGAAACTATTTGTTTTATTTGTTAACTTATTTATGTATTATACACCTTTATCGACTCATAACAGTCACGAAAGAAAACCTTTCAATGATGACAATTACCTGTTGCATTAAGTTAACATATTTTGTCGTACAGCAGATAGTAGACAGTCGTACAGTAGACAGCAGATCTTTCACTAAAATAGAACTTATAAAAAAGTGAAATATGTAAGGTAACAAAATAGGCAGACAATAAAAAGTAATTCTCACCGGTGATTATATACACTGTGATCATTCAACATTTAATATATGAATTGTACTATTGGGATTATCATAGCATGCAGATGAAAAATGTTCTTGAAATTTAAAAAAAAAGATGATCAATGAATAAAGTGAACAGGAAGTTTTTTACCTAATAAAAACCTCCACTTATTATAAAATGTTGATTAATGGCATAGACCCTTTTGTTAAATTCTGTTTTGTCTACAGACTACGATATTTTGAGCAGATGTTTGTTGGATAGCTATTTAAAGAGTTGAGATAAGTATGACTAAGCTGCAAAATGACCTTATGAGAACTAACTATTTGAAGCTATAAATTACATTTTAATTGTAGTAGTACTAAATTTTGGTCTCATGCACGTCAAAGAAATGAATTTCAAAGGTAATATTATCAAGTTCTAGAAATAAAATAGAAAGTCTACAAAATAGTTCTACTATTTACTAATTACTTTACATGTTTAAATGAATTCCTATATAACTTACATATAATAAACAAACTACTTTATCTGTACTTCCCACAATTTGCTACTGTTTGAGGAAAACCAAAGAATATTAGAGATCTTCTGAAATCTTGATGCTTGAATTAACATGATAGAATATGAATAAAGACACTGTCCACCGTACTATAAAAAAATATAAGTCAATTAGAACAACACATTTAAGCGAACAATATTGTTTTCGATTAGATCGTAAATATTGTTCGCTTATATGTGTTGTTCTAATTTTCACAATGGGAATCTTTAATAAGTCAATTAGCTGGCAAAGGGTTAACACGACAAATTACTCAACAGAAATACACAACTGAATAAAGCTGATGAAAATTCTGCGAATAACTATTCATTATTTAGGTAATTAGAACAGGCTGATTTCACGATTTCAGATGAATTATGAAGATTAATTCTAAGTAAAGTAATAGTTAGGCGTTCGCGCACAATACCGAAGGTCCCGGGTTCGAATCCTGCGAGGAGCAGGAGTCGTGGATGCGCACTGCTGATGAGTCTCATACCAGGACGAAACGGCCGTCCAGTGCTTCCAGGTTTCTAATGGTGGTCTAACAATGATTGATTGGTGATTTCAAATGAGTAAAAAACGCAAACCTCCAAAACTGCCCCAAATTAAAGTAATAATTCTTAATGCTGTTCAAAACAACAGTCGAACCTATACAGATAAGCGACTCACATTAGGGAATACAGTAGAACTGAAACCAGTGTGACTATCAAACTATTGATCATAAAATCATGAGATCAACAGTATACAATCATATTCAATCATCAATTTACACTGGTTATCATCAATAATAATTCACAGCATAAATAATCAAAAAATAATAAATACTTAATAAATATTTTATACTCAATAATAGATATTTACATCAAAAGAAAAATAAAAAAATCAAAACTCAAGCAATCACAGCAATTATCATTTTTATTGATTTGTTTATGTTGAAATTATTTACAAAATTTAATCTATCTTTTTGAACAACCAACTGAACTACATTTCTTTTTTGGTGATGATGAACATTTATAAGAATTATCTGAACAACTCGGTGATGACCATGAGATTTTTACATTTATCGGTAAACTAATTACAGATTTCTTCTTTATCTTGTTATGTTGTGATAAATTAAACGGTAAAAGTACCGGTTTTTTATATTTTATAGTTTTATGCTGATTAGTAACCAAATCAACTGGAATACGATATTGATAGTACTCACCGCCATCTTTATAATGATGATGAGGTAATCGATATTCATCTGGTAGGCTACCACTTGATGGCATATTTAATTCAATAATATTTTTCTGTTCATTCTGATGAGATTTAGTTAATTTTTGTAAATGTGGATGACTATTACATTTTTGACGATAATGATGATAATGAAGATGACGATGATTAGGCGGACGACGATGATAAAAATTGTGTCTTTTCAATTTTGGCCAACATTTATGACGCATAATCTTTTTTAATGCTAATAAAAATCGATCACAAAACCAACAATAAAAGAAAAATGATAAATCACTTTTTAAAGCTAATGCAATCACAGAAATAGGATTTATATAATCTACAAAACCAAATGGTTTATTCGGTGTAATTGTTTCAATATGATTTTGATCTGTAAATGTATTGCATAACAATAAAGTGTTATTAATAATTTTATTTGTATCAGATAAATAAAATCCAGTACTACTGAAACGCATTATCACAGTTGTTAATACAAATGGACCTTGACAAATAAAAAAGGTTACAATTAAACAAATCAGCGTAATGGTAATTTTTTTCTCTTCTCTTTGAGTACGTCCTAATTGTGCACCTGTAGGTTCACTTGCTGTTAAACTGGTTGGACTTGTTACTGGTGATGAATCATTCACTTGAAATAATTCATTTTTATTCAAAATTATATTTGACTTTTGTTGATTCGATTGAAGTTGACAATTATTTGCCGATTTCGTTGATAAATTCAAACAATCACAACAGAATATTTTCAGAAATGTACTAGAACATTGATCAAATAAATAAACATTTTTCGGTGTAGATGAAATGCAACAAGATGAATATGGATAACAAGATGTAATTCTATGGATTATTCCCGAATCACTTTGAGTAGAATTTGAAGATATAATTAACTCTTTATTTGCTTTTTTATGCCGTTGATTAATAAATTGTAATGAGCTACGTAAAGTTTGTATTAAACGTACATTGACAAAAGTTAATATACTGAATGGAATTATTAAAAATAGTAAAATTTGTACAATCCAGATATAAATTTTTCTAAAGATTACAATAGTATAAGATGAATTAATTTCTTTTGCATATCCTAATATAATAAATCCTGGTAATTTAATTAGTATACTTGAGAAAATAACAAGCATAATAAAAATACGTCGATATTTACAGTCAATAAAACGTACTTTCAATGGATGACATACAGCAAGATAACGTTCAGTAGCAATTAGTACAGTTAACCAATTTGATATTAATAATAATGTATCAACTAATTCACCCAATATTGTTTCAACTAGAAAATAAATTCTTGTATATAATCCTTCAGGTAATGCTGGTATAATAAAAAAATCCATTGAAAGTATGCAGAGTGATATTAAAGTGAATAAATCTACAATAGCTAATACAATAATATAAGTGACTGTAGTTCTCCATAGACCACGTTGTGTAACTGCAATCAATGTCACTAAAATGCATAGTATACTAACAATAAATATTGGTATAGGTAAATAATGTTTTAATATAACGTATATTTGTAAATCTGTTACATCAACCTGTGTGACTACTAAGAAAGATGAAGGTGATGATGACTGTGATGATGATGATGATGAGGATGATAAAATTTGTGGTTGATTCCAAATTGATGAATTCCATGTTTCATTGAAAACAACAGAATTCATAATTAAATCGTTTACATTTACATTCATTACATCATCTATTCTGATGTATTTGTAACTTTCATAATGTTTGTTTACTTTGAACAGTATACGATTACATTTGAACAGTTGTATTATTTGCTTTGTCATGATTGGTTGGGATTCAAATAATTCAAGTAACCAATCCAAAAATAGTTTGTAGAAAAAAAATGATTAACATAGCAGTGATTAAATATTCCCTATCTTATTCTGTAAATCAACACAGATCAGTACCATTACAACAGTATTACAAATTATTTTAAAGTGAAATTTAGTATTCGCAGTAAAGAGGTTAACCAGTTATACTAACCAAATTCCTCTTTATCGTTTTCTCAGGTAGTAATAACAAAAACAATAATAATGTTATACGAAATGAATTGTTTGCTATTCATAACACAGAAATATTCTTCAATCAACTAGTCTACAAGCCTTTTATTTTTTAATCATAAATTAGGCGAAAATGGATTCATTTTCACTGAAGTAAACAATATGAAGCCCCAGTTGTTCAGAATAATCAGAATGAATTCCTTCTTAATGAACTAAAAGAACTGTGCGACATTTCCAAAGTTTAGAAACGCCTTGTTTATTTATTTGGTTAAAATTTACTGACAGCAGTAATGTAAGTTTAGGCGAACCACAGAGTTTTCATTATCGAATTCACGAACTGATATAAGCCAAACTACCGTTAGAAACCTAGAATCACTGGACAACCATTTTGTTCAAGTATGTTGGTCCGTGATTTCAACTTTGAAAATAATACAGTCTCCACAAATCTCCTTCACCAATAAAAGCAACAACATTATTTACAGGTGTGCCACTAACTGAAAGGCATTTTAAATTATCAATAATAAATAATCAATTTTCCAGTGTTAATGTGAAATAGTGTCAAATTACTAACAAGTAGGAAAATCTCCAATTTACTGAGAAAATGTGGTTTAGTACAATTTGAAATTATTGTCTGATGTCTAGTTAGTTAGTTAGTTACTTAGTTTATGGACACATTTTTACAGTCCGAAATCTTTTACATCATTTCCAAAACTGGTAAAAAACCAAAGGACATCAGCCTTGTGGTAGTTTGATATATTTCAACATCTTTACGATATGTTAATCAATCAGACAAAACTCAGTGGCTCCCATTATTAATTTTAATCCATTTTTATGTTTATTCAATGCCACCAACAAACCGCTAATTCAAGTCTGGCTATATAAACCTCACTGATCACAATCGTTAGCTGGGACTTCAAGGTTATTGATTTCTAGGCTTGTAAATATTGAGTATAGGATTGTTATTCAATAAAGAGAATTTCGCTTAACTTGAACATATTTATTTTACATCACAAACTAATATTATTACAGTCCTACACACTTTTTCAGATGCATACAGATGAATAATCACAAACTCGTAAAAGTAGTTGTTCAAGTGATGTCATAGAAACTAAATTTTTGAATTTGTTTTAGAAAAGTTAGAGATTTGTAAATGGGACAAAGAATTAATCTAGTCTGTTAGCTTTGTTTAATGTAATTTATGATTACAACATGATGCCAATGCGTTATCTGCTACTGTTATTTTGTGAGTTTAAAAATGTAGTTACACTCATACCATAACTTCGATTATTTTTTCCATGAATTGATCTTATGATTAAAGTTAAAATGAACTTATAAAAAATCAATTAACTAAATGGTACATGGATTCACTTCTTATGGTATAATTCAGAAATTATTGTTATTTCCCTAATTCGGTATCTTGTTTACTTTACGAAGTTTCATTTCCTACATACAGATAATAATGGTAATAATATTTCAGTATACAAAGTAGAAAATATATTAGTTTAGAATGAGATACGTGTTATTGTGCCAGACTTACCACCACACATATCATTAGAAAAAATATGGTCGACTGGATTAATTTCAAAGTAGACGACAGCTGGGGATCAAATACAAAAATAAACTAGTGTAGCTTGTAAGTTATTAGGTATGCTTCACATTGTAAAATACTACATTATTATGAATTTCTTTTATTAAAATTGATTTTCACTCGATAACGAAGCATTTTCACTTGAACTAAATCTAATTACTAAGTAATTTTACCTATACAACGGTTGTTTACATCGTTATATATATATGTATATATATATATATATAATAAATCGATATCATTAAAATGTCTTTAGTTCTAGTAAAATCTATAAATAATTCTCTAAACAATTCCCTAATTGATCACTAAGAAATCCGTTTGTACAGCAGTCAGTAAACAACGACTTAGGTTGATGAAAAAGAACAGGAATATTTTCAAATGGCACAACTGTCTAGTACTATTAAGTGATACTTAACAACATAAATGCATCTTCGTTATCACCGATACCTGAAATACTTTTCTTCTATGTAGTTCAAAATTCATACTAAGATGTTGCTCAAATAATTTCACTCTTATGCATTCCAGTGCACAAATTAGATAAATTATCTTGTATTATTAGTTCAGAAGCTTGAAATAAAGTCAATAAACCAAAAGCGTAAAAACCAACTAATCAGATGTACAAATGTGATTTCAAGGTCATGGTGCCTAATTCAAATAAACATGTTGATTATCAATTGCATGATTATTAGTTTTGACGAAAATGTGACGAAAAATTATTGAAACAGCAAAGCATTGTATTACAAGACTATTTACAATTGTGGTGATGATTTGGGCTAAGAGTTAAGGGTTAGAGATAGGTTTGAGAATCAGGGGTAGGATTAAGGCCAAATTATAAGGTTAGGATTTAGCGTTAGGAATTTCAACGTTAAGCTCTAAGATCTAGATTAATAGTTTGTGTTAGGATATAAAATTACTGTTAAGATTAGTTCACACATACTTCACACATACTTCTAACCTAGAGAAATTCATTCAATTTTAATAAATACCTTCGATTTCTTTCTTGAAGAACCTTTTATTTCTTCAAGATTCAATTTGGATGTTAAAAGTTCATATTTTATTTAAGGTAGTAATGTTTCTTCTTTTAATATAACACAATGTAATTTTTTTCAGAAATTATTTCAATGAAATTTCAAAAGAAAAAATATCACATGCTAACTAAACAATAATTATCATAAAAATAAAAACCAAATTTTGTAAGCTACAGATTTCCACTAATTAAGCTGTTCACATGATTTTTTTTGTGTGTAATTAATTAACAAATTAACTCCTAATTGATGTTAAGTGATTAAAAGAGAAATTGTATTCTTTATAGCTGGCATATTTGTTTAGTTTATATATATTCCCTAGAGTGGAATTATTATGTTTAAACAAATTATTCAATGTATAAACAAGGTAGTCATTTATTATATTTCTTAATATTCTAATCACTTTATAGATATCTTCCAATTATAAAATAAATCAAAACAACCATTTCAGGATACAATAATTATTACTATAATAGAATAAGAAAAAAACTATTAATTTTCTTAACATAATAGATTCTATTCGAAATTAGTCAAATCAGCTAAACATAAATAGTATTTGTGAAACATCATGTGTAAACAGCTCGATTTCGCAATGATAGAATAATGTATCACTGTTATCCGTTACTATAAAATCTTTAGTCGATCCAAATAATATCTAAGAATCTGTTAAGATAATCTGAATACTAACATAAATTAACGAGTTCATTTAAAAACACCAGTAACATGAATGTACAAACGCTTAGAAAAGATGGTATATAAATTCACCAAGTGCGCAAGTATTTTTTTTGTTTGATTTGACTACATCATATGTAATGAAGATAACTAATTAACTTAAGTCTGTTACGCCTTTTGAGCCATCGGTCTCTGATCACAGGTTACCAAACATCTTTGTCTTACATTTGTTTGTTAGCTTCTTTTTATCTAGCTTGTGCCTTGGCTTTCCCTGCTCTTGTTCAGCTGGTATTGGTTGCTGCCTTTTTGTTCTTGCTTTCTTCAATCCAATCGAGAGTATCCACTGACATTCATTTCTTGTAATGGTGCTTCTTATGGCCCAGAACCTCATGACATGTTGAAGTGATTGCTTCCGTGATTTCTTTTGAGTTGTTCTCTATGGTAGACCCCTTTCCACTGAGTAGATCGTGAAAGGCTTGTAAACTGTTCCTAAGAAGCATGTTGAATTTAGTTTGTTTGTTTGTATCCCGAAGAAACGTCGTATTAAACTTTTGTGATGTTGTCTGCCCCATTGTCCAGTGTTTCTTGAGTTTCAGTTTCATCTTAGCCAATACCAGGTGGTGATTTGAACTTATACCAACTCCTCTCTTGGTCCTTACTTCCTCCATCATCCTTCTGAACTTTTTATTGACGCAGATGTGATCTATTTCGTTTTCCGTAGTATGATCTATTGAATCCCAAGTGTATTTTTTATGTGTTTGTGTGGGAATATGGTGCCACCCATCACCAGTTTGTTGAAGGCCCATAGGTTTACTAACCTCTAACCACTCTTTCTTTCCTCCCAGTCCGTACTGTCCATGATGTCTTGGTATCCGGCATTGCCTATTCTGACCTTAGCATTTGGGTCTCCCACCAAAATAGTCAAATCGTTTACTCGGCACTTATCGACGATTAACTACAGTCTTTCGTGAAACCGGTATTTATCGTGTTCATCGTTATCGGTACTGGGAGCTTAGCACTAGATGACATTTATTTATAACATTTATCTGATGATCATAGGTTCATGAGATTCCCATCCTATAAGTGTTTTTTGCGCTAGATTGGATAGCCTGAGAGCAACTCCTTGTGTGAAGTATTTTAATCTTCAAGGCAGAAGAAAAGCAGCATCTCTTCTGAAGCTAAACGTTTTTTATTTATTCTGCATCCAATGGGTTTCACTTATTCAAAGCACATCTAGGTTGTGATTTCATTTATTCAGCAACCTGGTCTCTCACATGGTACTGAAATTCCATGTACTTATGTTAACTGTGACTTCCAAAGAAACTCGACTTTCATCATGAGACGTCATAACTCTTCTAAATGAAAAACTTCCAACTCTTAGGGCAGAGTTTAAATAGTTTGAATTATTTTTCCTGGCCAGTGTTTTTTTAACGAGTTAGTTTTTTACTAGATGGTACCGCTCATCCCATACCCAAAGCTCCTCCTTTATCCGAGCTTGAGACTGGCGGTAACCCTATAAGTTCTTCAGGTGGAGTTAACAATAAACTCAATACTGAATTTATTTTAAATTATCAAGGTAACCTCTGTTAATGATACCAATTGTAATGCAGATATCTACTGATTTTAGAACGCAGTCTTAAACAATAATAATCCAGAAATATTGATCCTTAAATTTCTAACTATATGGTGCTCATTGAGTTGTAATACAATTAAATAGAAAAAAACATACATATGAGACAGTTCTCACGTTCAAAATTAATAAAAATCGGAAGATGTTATTCTTAGATGAATTCTAACTGACGTTCTGACCTTTGATAATAGTTCATTTTCAGAGTATACTTCATTGATAGCATCTACGTGAAATATGCTTTACTAGATCAATGTAGTAATTTAGAAAGTCAGTTGAATAATTAGTTCACAGAAAATTTATGTTTAACTAACTTAAATGCGTTTGCTGTTCTTGGTTTTCGATTAGGCTTTGAATAGTACTAGGGACTAATAATTTATAAATTTTACTAGTCAGACTGATTTCTATCTCATATATCTATATTACGCCAAATTATTCTAATGAATGATCTTGGACAATCACTGTAAAAGACCTTTACAGTTAACTCCTTTAAGTCAGTTTGAGTCATTTTTCCACACTTCAACTTCAATAAAACTTAGCAGTTCAGTGCCAACTTTTTGTTAAGGGAAACACAAAGTGCATTTGTTACTTTATATGGTGATTTTTGTTAGAAACTCACACTTTCTACATTTAATACACAAATAAATTAAAATTTCCCTACTGAATTCTTAAATTATCAGTACTCACTTATAAAATTTAATTATATCAAAAGATTTAATATTCGGTTTTATTTATAGATGCTTAATCATTGAAAGATATTCTTAATTTATTACTGAGATAAATAAAAGGGAATTATGCAAAACTACAACTATCAATTGGTTTTTTTTATTCACTGTTTATTGAGTTAAACGAATCACTTCCAGAATAATAAACTGACAAGTATGAATGTTTATTTTTTTATTTGATTTATAACTTAATTTATGAAATTAGAATTCATTTTGTCTTTTTACCAGTTTATTTCTTATTAATGATATTAAAAGGTATCAAACAATTTACTAGCTGGTAAGTCAAATAGAGCACACATATTTTATTACACTAAACTTTACAATCAAATCTATGTCTACAAAATGATGTTCTACTCTTAGAATTTCACAATGAAGATAGAAATTAATAGAGAGTCACATGCTTCAGCAAATTACTCACTGCTGTAATTTATGAAAGAAATGAAAAAAATATACAGATGCAAATGTTTATATAAATCAAACCTTGTATTTGATGCCAGTTCAACAACCCCCGAAAAACTGCCTATTATTGAGCAAATATAAGATGATGATAGCTTACGATCACTAAGTCAGTCAGTTTGCGATAGTCTAAGACCATCATCCAGTACTAAAAGAGAAATCCATCAGATTCCGGACATGATTAAATTTTACCAATCAAAGGGGTTCATTTGGAAGCTAGTCACGAAAATGTGCAAAACTGCATTTCTCTCAGTTTTGTGGGAATTTCACAATCTAAGATTGGTGTTCAAACAAAGCTAATTTTGTATACGCCGTCCTAATAAAAACTTTATTAATAAGTTATCGGTGTGAACTCAGTTAAAGTAAATTTTTCTTGTAATCACTCTGGCATGATTGTCATTGTTTAAAGCAAATAATCTGTAAAAATGTACGAATTTGCAGTTCCAAAGGCGATTTACTCCTTGAAATAATATTGTAAAGCTATCCTCGCAGTTGGGTTACCAAAACTGTGACAAAAACCCGTACAATTCCCCATTTTAAAGTTTTAACACAATTTACCTTTTACTGCTGAAACATGGTAAATGATGACTACCTAAGTTCTAAAACAATTGACAAACACTGCATATATAACCACGCACTGCAAATTTTATTCAGTCAATCTCCAGATAACATAATATGATTTACCAAATATCTTAGTTATGTAAGAAATGGGTTATAGTTCAAAAAGTTAAGCGTAAAATTGTCAAACTAAGACTTCAGGTGAAATGGGTTAGAGTCTCATAAGTATGTCAATTTTCACAAGATTCTAGATACATTTTACCCCTAAACTAATATGAAATCTTATTCCAGAGTCTCTTGTCAATAATATAACCCAATTCCCTAACACTATAAATCCTCTTTTAACTGATAAAAATTGATTATTTAAATTGATTCTTATTTTACTGATTAATATTTTTCAAAAAATACTGTTTCAGCTGGTTTTGTATATATATATACGGAGAGAGGAATTACGCAGTAAGGTAATACATATGCCCGTTAAGTAATTTTTGAATTAGTTATCGTTATTTTAAATTCAGAATTATTTGAAGTAAATGGCTAGATGGACCGATTTAGATATTTAAATAAATACGTTGGTCCTAATTTTGGATGAATTTATTCCATAAATGGCTTTAAAACAGAATACAATAAAATTGGCATTTTGCATAAAAACTATTAGGAGAATTACAGATTCCAGTTAAACAGTCAGTTACTAAAACCAATCGGTACTATCGTAGTGGAAAATTCCAATTAGGCTAGAAGCTTTGGATTATGTAGGCTCCAAAATTAGTGATAGGGGATGGACAGGTTGAGGGTGTCGCCCATTCCACTTGGGAGTCTCGTCAGCCTTGATGGTCTGTTGTCTGACAAAGTCCTAGCACGGATACAAGAGGATCGATGCGCTTTTGCCAACTTGCGTCATCGGTGGCGTATGCATCTGTCTCTAGCAATTCGTACAATATACTTCGTCGTGGGATAACGAATGTTACTGCACGAACTCAGAGAATCAAGTAAGAAATAGATTCCAGAGGAGGAAGTATATTTGACACTGGCCTCGTGATATCGATATAATATCGAGGCGAGAGGGCGTACAAACAGCTGACGTCCACGCAGGGGACGTGCGAAGAGGAGAATGGGAATAACACGCTTGGCGCGTGAGAGATAGTCTTTTGTACAGATAAATAAGAGGTGTACTATAAAATAATTATTGTCAGAATTAAGTTCAACAATAAATGTTTATATTTCAGCAGTTGTGTTTTCTTCTTAAAATTAAACCACTACATGCCAAACAAAGTACGAGTTTACTGCGTAGTAGTTCGCTTCGCTATAACTTATGGGTGTGAAACATGGTCATTAAGGATAGATATTTTTAAGTTAACTATTGTTTGATCATATGTATCTTCAAAGCATTGTTCATGTATCCTGGGAACATCGAGTAAGCAATCCAGAGGTTAGGCAAAGGTTACTAGGTGAGGATGGCAGACTGATTGACGAAGTAGTCAATCTTCATCATCAGAGGTGGTTTGGATGTGTGTTACGTATGCCGAACCATCGACTCTCTGGGCGAGCGTTGTCTTGCGGTGTAAGGGTAGGCTGGAAGAAAGCTAGGGTCGGCCAAACCAAAACATGGCACAAATGCATGAAGTTACTGACTGCTGGATTGAGCCATGTTGGTAGATGTAGACTACCTAGTTCGGGTCCGTGAGACAATCGTAACGGATGGTTAGAGACTTTGAATGACATGGCTCAAAATTGGTTACAGTGGCACAGGTGCATCCATTCTCTGTCTTGCCCTAGATTTTAGGCTTCATAATTCCTCATAATTTCTTTCTGAAAATTTATCCGCTGATTATCTTTCCTTGAATCTTATCTCCAGTTCCCGTTCTTCTCCATTACCACTAATACTATTTCTAACTCTACTCTAAAATTTTGCCTGAGGAATTTTTTATACTAATTTTTTATAGTAATGGGAATGGGCAACTTGACCTAATGTACGTACGTACTAGGTCCTATGTGACAACTGACTTGCCATTGATATCAGACTTCTCAGCGTTTTCATTTACATTTTATCTGAGTACTAAGAAGTGATTACATGTTCCAGCGTGTTAGATCTGAGGCTTCAAATTTACTTACTGATTCAAACTCATGACGGAGAATGTAGTATTATTTTCGATGACCAGATAATACAACAAGGTTGACTGCTAAAGTTCCATATCATTGTATGAACGTTAGAGATATAATATGGATAAAGCGAACTATTGAATTCGACTCAGCCAGCAAGACTCACACCTTCGACTGGTCAGCGTTTATTAAAAAACATGGATTAGTTGTCAACACCGAAAGGTAAAAATACCGTGATTCTTGGGAATTACTTAGGTCTTCATGTCTATATGATTGTCTACAAGCTGAAGGCTCAGTCGTAAACATTTTAATTAGCCCTATTTTTCATAAATTAAATGTTTTTAAGTTCACTCAGTCTACCATCTCATAGTGACCCCATTCTCATCTCCTCTTTTGTCGTATTAAGCCTCTTACCTGAAAGAACCATTAACAATAGATATGGAAGCTTAATCTTCAAAAATGTTATCTGTTTCATATAGTTATGTGATATTCATTGAACAGATCACAAGGTCAGTGACTTGGCGGCTTCTAGAATGGCAGGCAAGTTGACCAAGGTGATTAATTTGGCTACAAGTATGTTTTATTGCTATTTCGAAGTCTGCAGAGACCTCTGCTATTGTTATACAGGAAGTGACACCCAGATTGACTAAGTTTAGAGAATATGCAGCAGTGGAACTTAGGCCACCAACGAAAGCAGATTTCAAACCTGCAATGGAACAAGCGATGAAGCTGGTGGATGCATACAAAAGTGGTGCTTGGAAGAATGTTTCCGTCAAGGTATATAACAGCATATTAATAGTAATTTCCAGGAAGGTCTCGTTAATGCTGTAGTAACAGCAGAAGTACTATGCTGGTTTTTCATAGGGGAAGTGATTGGACGAAGGAGCGTTCTAGGGTACAGCCGAGTTCCAGGTGCCTATATCGAACATCACTGATCCACTTCTTGTCTGAAGTGTGCACATTGTGTAGAATCATTTAGAAAATACGAGTTACTAAATAAAAGGCATGTTATCATCTCAGTATTTCTTAATTCCACGGAATCTCCGGACTATTTATTTCTGTCCACGGATATTGCAATTGCGATTCCAAGTTTAAAGTACTGTTTATAGTCTTAAGCTTTCAAATAGAAGTCCTGGTATCATACTAGTCAAATTACCGTTAAGATATTTTATGAGTAACTGCATCAGTATCGCTTGGACTTTACTGTTTTTATTCCAAATTTAGTGGCTGTAAGCACTTTATCTTAAATAGTCAAAGAACTTGGACTGGTTATCTTATAGAGTACTCATGTTCATGTAGAGTTTCGGGTCTGATGTTTTGTCTTCAATGCGCAAACGGAACTGAGTTTACAAAAATCGGTCACTTGTTTTGAAAGTTTCCAATTAACGCTAGCAAGCTGATTCGTTCGTAAGGGGTGTTCGTTATTTGCTATATCCTAAATCAAGTTCTGTACCACCGACGTTAAAAGCTCAGGTGGGTTTATGCAGCGATCTACATAGACCGTTGCTCGAGCCCGCTGTTGCGATCTAATAGGATGCTTGCTGGCTAAAACCTACTGTGGTTAGGTAGATTGCAATTAATGTCGTGAAAAGAGCTCTAGTATCCAGGTCTTAAGACACACTCTCATCTTTTAGTAATAGTGATCGACTGTACCCAAAAACGCATCCATCTTACTGCAACCCACTAGTAAAATTCAACCCCTCGCTTATAATCCTATACCATCTAAACCGCTGGTTCATTTAGCAAAATGAAGCTGACAAAAAGGGGTATGCCGATTGTCTAAAACCATGTATAAATTACTAGTATTCGCCAAGCACTTCCAAATAGCCTGAGTGCAAGTGACTTCCCTTGGAATATTGGGTAGTAGTTGCTTGTATGGTTGGATCATTCGAAACCCCCTAGCTCTCACTGCCCGTCCAGTATTCGGGAGAATTCTAGCTGTGCTTTGGAAATTAAATATGGAGATAGCACTGGTTTCATCAATACGCAGTGCACCCAGGGTTAACAGTACAACCCTAATGCGCTGCTTCCTGGACTCTATTTTTGTAGATTAGTGTTGACCACATTCCTGCCCTGGAAATAGCCTGCTTTAATTGCGTTCCTGTCTCATGAGTGTCGAAGTCTGGCACACAACTTAGTGTCTGGATACAACGAAGCAGTGGAAAATTTGATGTCACTTCCCAGTATAAGGGGCTAGGTCACATCACTGAGTTGTAAATCAGTTCAGGTGACCATGATGCATACTAAAAATGTTTAATTCTCAGGATGTAAAACTACGATACCAAACCGTGAAATCTCTAAACAGTGTATACTACAATCTAGAGAATATAAATGCATGACTACTGTCTTTCGTTTATATCAATTTCCTCTTCCGGCACTGAGATAAGACAACTTCGGCCGGTCTGTATAGACCGTGTCATGATGTCATTACTTTGATCATACTTTTACTAAGCTTAACATCGTGAATTCGTTATTTAAAGCGGATTCGTAGCTGCGTAGATCATTATCGTACTCGGAATCTCCTTTCTAGTAGATAGCGTTAGAAAGGCAAGATTCAATATACGCTTCTTACCAATATCAAGCAGTGAACGCCTAACACTGTCCTTAGAAACCAATCATTGTCATTCACCGTTTTCTCACTTGCCGGTGACAGCCCTAACTTTATTGAGGGTCACTTACTTACCTACTTACACTTCTTGCGGCGCATAAATCACTGACGAGGATTTTCCATTCAACCTTGTCCTGGGCTGTACTTTGCTGATCACTGTCCATTCTCTTCGTACCTAGCTCTGATTCTCGGCGTAATGTGACTTTTGGTCTACCTCTTTTCTCTTGGCCTTAAGGACTCCGAGTTAGGGCTTGCCTCGGCGCAGCTGGATGAATTCCGTTATGTATGTCCTGTCCACCTCCGCTGCGTTTCCCTAATTCCTTCAGCCGAAAGCTGGTTTGTTCTCTCCTACAGTGGTGTTCAGGCACACGACTTAAGGTCCTGGCTTCGATTCCCGTTTGTGGGATCGTAGATACGTACTGCTAACAAGTCTCATACTAGGGCGAAACGGATGTCCAAGGTTTTTAATGGTGATCTCGTTAAGATTAGTTCATCATTTAAGCTGTTAATTTAATAAAACTAGTTCCCTAAATAGATTGAAATAAAGACCCACTTGCATCAATCACTCCTGCTACTTGCTTACCTCGTGTACTATAACTCAACTATTCTGAATTTGACTGGAACTACTTTTAAGCTATTATCGTTTTCTGAACATATGTTAGTTCGAAGACTGATCAAACTCAACTCCAACCGAATCTAACAACTAGCAATGAGTTCTGACTCATCCCATAGCTGTGGGACACTATACTAAGTGAAAGATTGAAAGAATTGATGTCCACTGAGTCTCCTATTATTTGAAGTACTGGACACATCGTTGAACCATGAAATAAACAATGTAAGATGGATGTAATGTAGGTTTAGTGGTCCGAAGCTTAAAAACAATGAGCGTGACGCATCTGCGGTGTCAATTTTAAACAATTTACAATAAATTCAGGCATTAAACCTAAGTGGAGACATGTTTAGAAACAACTTTTGAGCTACTCTGCCTTATCGTGAAATTAAGACCAGGGAAATAAGATTCTCAACAATTTGACAACACCTAACCACATGTGGATTCTTAGGCCAAGGAATTTCAAAAAAAAAACAGGATATCCACAACGTGCAGAACTTCTAGAGTGGGTTAATATGCAATTCGAAATAGTTCGAGATCACATAGTGAAATATTATACTTTAAAAAACAACCGTGATAATCTATCGATACCAATTTAGGCTTTTGCGACAAATAAATATGAAGCGGGGTATCAATGTTTTCCTGTCTAGTTTTACATCATACGTTCGACTCCAGTAAAAAACCGTGTTAATTTAATGAAGAGTTCGGTGATTTAGATCAAAAGGCTAAACTAACTATTTTAGTGTGACTATTAGGCAATAAAGTCTAACAAGCCAAATATAGAGTGATAATAATGCTAAATGTGTTATATGACCCGTCTAGTCAGGGTAAGTCTCAGTGTACTGAATAAAACAACAGCTTCTCTCTATTGAAATTAGCGGTTTGACATATCAGTGCAATATTTTACGAAAGAATCGGACTATTACAAAGTCAGTTAATTACAACGGAGAACTTGGTACGTACGTACATCAGTTCAGGTTGCCATGCCCCATCAGCACAGAGACGCAACTGTCAATTCAAATCCAAGAGTGATAGTAGAAGTATTAGCAGCAATGTAGAAAATTAGGGAGCGAAGATATGATTCGGGAAGTATAATTCAGTGAGATAAATTTAGGAGGAGAAAGGTAGAGATTACGAGGAATTCAGAAGGTTAGAATTAGAGAAACATAAAGAGTAGATGCACCTGCGCCATTGCAGACGATTTTGAGCCATGTCGTTCAACGTCTCTAGTCATTGGTGACTTTCAACTCGCGGACCTCGACCAGGTAGCCTACATCTACCAACATGACTCAGTCCACTTGTCAGTGACTTCATGAATTTCTGCTTTTTCCAACCTACTCCCACACCACAAAGCATAGCTCGTCGCAGCAGCCGGTGGTTGAGCGTTCGTAACACAAGTCCCAACCTCTTCAACTGATGAAGTTTCACAACTTCATCAATCGATCAGCCATCCCTACCTAGTACTCGTTTCCTAACGACAGCATTGCTGATACGGTTGTTCCACGATACACGAGCAATGCTTCTATGACATCTGTGTTCGTATTCTAGTAACCTACGAATATCTTCTACTCTTACCGGCCATATTTCGCATCTATATAGGAGAACGGAGCGAACTGCTACACAGAACATTAGTCCTTTGGTCAGAAAACGGATATCTCGCCTGCACTATAAGTGACGCAAGTTGGCAAAAGCCAATCGAGCTTTCTGTATCTGTGCTGAGATTTCATCAGTTACTAGGCAATCAGAACTGATGAGACTGCCGAGATAAGTGAAGCGGACAGCACGCTCAACTACTTCACTGCCTATTACTAATTCAGGTACCAGGCCAATCTTGAAGCAACATTTTGCATTTCGAGGGGGAAAACCGCATCCCGAACATGCTTCCTATTCACGGGCTGTACTTAGGCGTCGGAGTATTATTCAGGCCGATATTTTAGGTAGTATATTAGTTAGACTGATTCCTCTGTGATTGTCACAAGAGGATTTTTGTCCTTTCTTATGAATTGGGACAATTAGCGATTGAGACCAGTCGAATGGGATTATGCCCAGATTCTACGTAAGACCTCTGTCAGTCTAACTGCTAAAACTGGCCTGCCATCCTTAAAAACCTCATGGGTCAATATATCAGGACCCGCCGCTCTCCCTCGCTTCAGATTTCCTATTGCTTTCTCAACTTCATGTAGACTAGGAGGACTTACGTCGACTTCTCATTGAGGATGACTGGGGATCGTGGGCAACTAAAGTGTGGCTGAAGGCCAGTTGAACTGATGCCCAAACTGTTCTGTCCATCTGTCCACTCTCTTGGGTTGAGAATGAATCATAATCCCATCCTCTTCTGAGGTAGTTTAGCTAGCAAATGGGTTTATAATACTGGTTTCTTTGATAAAGCGGGAAAGTTGTCTACTGTTGCCTATTGGCGCTGCCTTTTCCATCGCTCTTGCTTTCGCCACCCACCACTGTGCGCGATCATTGCGTAGGCTTTGTATCAGCCTGCACTTAAGCTGACTTCGCTATTTATCATGTTCAGAGTCAGGTGGGATGAGTTTAGGAGCTTCTATCAGTTCGATGGATGATGCTGAGATCCATGGCTTCTTCCGAGCCTTATGGTTTACCTCACAAGCAGATGTCACTGCCTTTTCCACAGCCTTTGATGTCAATCCAAGCTGCCTCGGGGTGGGAATCACTTACATGGTCTCCTAACTTTTTCTAGTTCCTCCTGAAATATTTTCTTGGCTTGATTATCATTAAGTAAAGCCCTAAGAGGCTTCCTTACGGTGTCTTTCCTACGTCCAGTAAGCCTCAAACAAATACGAGCTCGCACTAGGGCATGATCTGAATCTAAACATGTGTCCCAGAACGAGCGACAGTCCTCTATCGAACCTCTCCATCGGTGGCTGATGGCGATATGATCTAATTGCGTCCAAAGTTGAGATGAATTCGGGGGTCCAAAAGATGTTTTTCCTTATGCTTAAAATTTGTGTTTGCTAGAAATAGGCAGTTATCTGATCATATTTACAACAGACAGTCGCCATTGTGTTCTCTGAGCCGCGGCACCACAAGATCCATTCAGGTGTCTTTCCTTTTCACTTAGTCTACCTACTTGAGCATTGAAGTCACCAGTCATTATTACTATATCGGTGTTTAACTTTTTGGTGGAGGTCCGAAAGCTTTCTGTAAAACTCATCTTCTACATCGTCTGGACTGCAGTCAGTCAGGCTGATAATGACGAAGAGGCAACGATGAGTGTCCTTATCTTTTCGAATCCTAACTGTCCCATTTAGTCGGACAGCGCACAAGCGACTATCTACTGGGATCCAGTCTAGGAGAGATAGTTCTGCCCTACGACTTAATGCTATACCTACACCAGCGAGACCCCTATAAGTAGCATCAGGGCTACCGGATATATGAAGGGTAAATCGAGTTGCTTCTTTATCTTGACATGGTGAGGTCAAGTGAATGATGCTACTCGGATCCTGTACGCGCGTTTCCGAGACGCAGCACACATCGATGGCGCGAGTATTAACTCCGCTCTTGATTAAAAGGTCTTACCCCCGGAGACAGAAATCCGTGAGGTAGGGTGTGGTGTGACATTTTTAGGGTCGACCTTTTCTAACCCTTCCTTCCTAGGGAGAAGGCAGCATCGCTGCAGATGCTGGTTGTCCGAGGGAAACACCTTACTGCTGCCACACCCCTCTGCAGTCAGCAGTACGACTTCGCCCTCGGACCTTGGGTAGCTGCTTTTAGTCTCATCGTTCTCCAATCGACCTGCCTGGCATGGTAGAACCTCCAGGAACATATGTTCCAGCCAATATAGCTCGATTGGCTCTTCATAATAGGCAAGCTCGACTACCACGTCAAGGCAGCAGCTACAGTCGGGATCGGGTTTCTATTCCGGACTATTACTACATAAGCAAAAAACCAAACCAACTGGTAGTTATGGCAGTGACGGTAAAATTATGGCTACTTAAAAACCCGAATATTACAATGTACTGGTAACTTCAATTGGGGTTAGAGGTGCTTTAATGATAATTCCTCATAAATGCACTTTCTGAGTAATCAGCCGACATATACAAGGTTGATTTTCATCCTAGTTGCTTCTCTTATTAAGCGTTATGTAGTCTAGAAACTACCGAACCGCATGTATTCGATTTCTGTAAATAACTACCCTGATTATTATGACTACATCATCATCCTTTCAACTAAATAGCTAATCATTCAACACTATTTCTTAATCACCTGTGAAACTATAATTTTATTAATACACTACTAATCTTTTGGTGTTTGTTTTATCATGAGTGTAAATTGTAGAGGACTTTCGTAGGTTACTAGTATTCGATCATAGATGTCTTCGAAGCACTGCTCGTGTATCGTGGAACAACCGTATCAGCAATGCTGTCGTTAGGAAACGAGTACTAGGTAGGGATGGCTGATCGATTGATGAAGTTGTGAAACTTCATCAGTTGAGGTAGTTGGGACATGTGCTGCGTATGCCTAACCACCGACTGCTGCGACGAGCTATGTTTTGCAGTGTAGGAGTAGGTTGGAAGAAAGCGGCCAAACCAAAACGTGGCACAAATACATGAAGTCACTGACAAGTGGACTGAGTCATGTTGGTAGATGTAGGCTACCTGGTCGGGGTCCGCGAGTTGAAAGTCACCAATGATTAGAGACGTTGAACGACATGGCTCAAAATCGTTTGCAATGGCGCAGGTGCATCCACTCTTTGTGTTTCTCTAATTCTAACCCTCTGAATTCCTCGTAATCTCTACCTTTCTCCTTCTAAATTTATCTCACTGAATTATACTTCCCGAATCATATCTTCGAATCCTAATCTTCTCCATTACTGCTCATACTACTATTATTATTGGATTTGAATTGACAGTTGCGTCTCTGTACTGATGTGGTACGGCAATCTGAACTGATGTACTTACGTACGAAGTTCTGCGTTGTATGTCTGTCTGTCTATAAGTGTAAATTATATATATTTCAATGTAGTCATGATGAAAAACTAGTTGAAAAGAAATACTTCTTTGTTCTATACATCTGGTTACCGAATGTTCAAATGTGAATTTTCATTGTACTTACGATTATCTCCGACTTCACCCAAATTACCTAGATGAGTTATACCAAGCTTTAAACTACACTCCACTCAACTTTTTTGAATAAATCTGATTGTATGTGTGAGGTGAGTAACAGAATTAGCATGGCCAACCTCACTTAACAAATCTAGATATATCATAATATATCACACTTTAAAACTAACAACTATTTGCAAATATTATTAAAAACAACACCAAAATCATGTCTATAATTATTATTTACAAAAAAAGCTGTTAGAAGAGAAAGTACACCTAAATACTTAACGAGATAAATCATTCATCATGAAAGCTTTCACATCATATGGCTCAGCAGTTATTTGTCTTCCAGCAAAGTAACGCTTATTTAATGCGTTTGCAGCATTGTGTACGGAACTCGGATCAGAAAATACAACAAAAATATTGACAAACTCTTCATTCGTCTCGTGACCACTGTTCTGATGAATTAATACTTTTTCAACCGACCCATACTTGGAACATTCTCCAGCTACTTCTCCTTCTAGTTCGTCGTCGCAATCTTCTGGACCGACCATATTTCGTAAAATTAAGACACTGTAAATAGAAATATCAGGAGTTAATCAAATATAAAACTCGCTAAATAATCTCGCTTTGCATTAAATATTTACTAGTTACGTGATAAAACTAGTATAACCCATAATTATCTACTTGAAATCAATTTGCGGGTGTGAATCCTTTCACAATAAGGATACCAGTGAACTTGATTAGTAGCGTATTCTCGGGTTTTCAAAGACCAGTACAGCAAGAGTATAATTAAAAACATTCCTAGCCAGCGAAAATTTCTAGCTTTAAAGGGTGATATAAAAAACATTAAAAAATGGACAATATTCAGGTGGTGATAGAAAACGAATTTTTTTAAATGTATTCATGTTTGCAAACAAATATCAATTAACACCAAAATCAGGATTTCCAATACAAATGTCAAGACTGTTCTACTGTATGGAGCGGAAACTTAGAGAACTACCAAATCCATCATCCAGAAGATTCAAGTATTCATTAACAACTGTTTACGCAAAATACTTCGGATTTGTTGGCCAGACACCATCAGCAACAACCTACTGTGGGACAGAACAAACCAGACTCCAGTGGAGGAGGAAATCAGGAAGAAGTGGTGGAAGTGGATAAGACACCCAACTGCGTCACAAGACAAGCCCTCTCTTGGAAAAGAGGAAGACCAAAGAACACATTACGCCGAGAAATAGAGAAAGAAATTAGAAGAATGAACAAAAACTGGGAAGAACTGGAAAGAAAAGCCCAGGACGGAGTTGGTTGAAGAAAACTGGTCAGCGGTCTATGCTCCATTAGGGGTAACAGGCGTAAGTCAGTAAGTAATTAATGATTGCATAAGCGGAGCCTAGCCCATATTTTTACATGTCATAGATGATAAGCACAAAACAAAATTTACTCGTAAATAAGCTGATGGTACAAAAATTTAAATGTACTCCTAGAGGACAGATTTATATTGGAAAAAACTGTAATTACTTGAGATTTTTGGCACCTCATGAGACAACACTATCGGTTTGTTAACCATCTCAATAGCGGTTTACTGTCATGTCAATAAATTAGGTTACGGTTACACAACCGTCACAAGCAACAGTTAGACAGTGATTCTACTGTGCATATTTTGTAAGAAACAAAAGAGAAAAGATAGAATCTAGTAACTAACTAATCACAAGGTTGGTAGTGGAAACTGTATACTCTCCCACATACTACAACAGATTTCAGAACAACGCTTAAGTGGGGAGGAGTTGACTCAACATCCATCACAGTGTGATAGCTATTATCGTTCTCCACAAATATAATGAATAATCAAGACAAACGTGTAGTTCTCAGGTTACGTAAATAGTTTCAGGGATGAAAATAAACTTAACAGATATATACGATACTGTGCCTAGTTTTCAAACAAGTTGATGTACTTATTAAAACGTTACCCATACTTACCCGCCTGAGAAGCTTGATTGGTCGGAGGAGGCGGAATGTGGTGCAAAACTACTTGGAGATACAGAAGGCTGGGCATGTGAATATTGCTCAGGTACCTCAGGTTGCCAAGTTCCTACAGTATTAGAATTTTCATTGTAGTTATTCACATGTTGTAATGTTGCATTAAATTCCGCTGTTCAAGTTTGGAAAAAAATGGATACAAGATCGAACTATTAAAAGTGGATTTAGTGAATATCAGCATCATAATTAAACCACATACAATACACCATAAATACATTACTATTACTATGCGAGGATACGAAAAATCTATCCTGCTTAAAAGAGTGGAAAAGAATTTTGTAGCGCGAATATGCTAAATCTAAATTTTTGAAGCACTTTTTTGAGCAGGTTAGTCAGCATTAATCATTGTTTACGTATGAAGCGTTAGATTGCGATTTCGAAGAAGTAGGATATTTCAAAGTTTAGTGTTAATTTCAACTTTGCTCATATATGTCATTTCAGACGCACCAACAAAGCTGTAAATAAATACAATTCAAACGAAAACTATCAATTTAAAAAGTATTAGTTGTCCGTTTGAGGAATAACCTCAATTATGAGAGGTAAGAGTGAAATTTACTTATGATGCAATAGTCTTGTATTTTATATACATAATCACATAAGTCTGCTTGGTGCAATTTACTTGTTTGGAATTCATAGTAATTTGATTAGTAGTTTCGGAGATGAGAATATCACACAAACAACTGACTGTTTAGGCATATACAGTAACGTGCTAGCGAACTTATTATTATTGGACCTAAGTATACATATAATCCTCAGATAATAAATAGGATTAGTAAGTGAACAAATACTTTTTAATTCACCAATATTCTTGAACTCCTTAGTCCTATCGACGTGGCATAATTTTTGTCAAACTAGAACACTTGTTGAATAAACCATAAACTATTAGGAACATAAAACTTTTTCTTCAGCAATATCAACAGTTAACAATTATTTAGGTTAGCATTAGTGCACACAACATATGCCATGTTCGACAATACAATAAAAAGAACCATTGGTTAAATGTTAAGCGTTACCCTATACTAGGTTTTACATATACAGCTATTATGTGTTACATGTACTGATTGTCCATAAAATGGGCATTCGTATTTGGAGTAAGATTAGGTACCAAAAGAATATGTTTATCATATATATTTACAAATCAGATAAAACTAGTAAATACACATAAACTGCTCCCAAATTATGTAACCAGATTAAAGCGAGAAAATAAAGATTTACCACTTAATGGAGGCTGATCAAGTGTTGACTGGCCAGTCGTTGAAACTGTCACGGGAGAACATGTAGGTAAAGAGCTGTTGGTAAGGTTGGTAGGCTGTATTGTTGTAGAAGACGGAGTATTGAGTACTACAGAATGAGTCACTTCGGGTTGCTTAGAATAAGAATTAACAGGGAGCTATAAGGAAATAAAAGATGCTGGTGAAATAAATGTTGACCAACTAACAAAACGAACTAACTATAATGTTAATAATTACCTGCTCTGTTTCCATTGATAGAACTTTAGCAGTGGCTGAAGCCGCAGCCACTGCTGCTGCTGGTGGGAGATTAGAAGAACTGGCATTTGAAATGCCGTCTGGAGGTGAGATAGCTTTGCATACTCTCAAAAGCTGTCCACCAAGATTGAACTGATTCATACTGCCAACAGCATCAGCTGCACTCTGAGTGGATTCATATTCTATGTAACCAAAACCTCTATGGCGCAAAGGTCTAGTAGGATCGGGTTGAAGCCTAGAAACAAATGTTCGTACATATTTGCAGAGACATACTTGCAGAACACTATTTTCCCAAAAGCTTCAAATACTAAAGAAACATCGTCTTCCGTGAGATCTAAATGTATACCAGCAACATATATGCGGTTATGAAGATTGTGCTCATTAACTAGCTCATTTATGACAGGTTCAGCGTTTGTTAGGTTACTCGGTCTACCAACTTTCAACTGTCTTCCACCAAAGCTAGTACCGTTCATCTGGTCAATAGCTAACTGTGCAGCTTCTGGGTATTCAAACTCAAGAAATGCAAACCCTTTATGTTTTTGTGTAGAAGGATCCCAACTTAAATTCACAGATTTAATAGGACCGAACGGTGAAAACACTTGCTTTAGACTGTCTTCTTTCACATCATATGCTATGGAACCAACGTAAACCCGGTTCAGAAGTGCTACAGTTTGATTCTTTTTTATATTATTTAACTGAAGGGACTGTTGAGACTGAGTTTGACGTAGAAGCACTGAACGTATACTTTGTTCCATTGCATACTTTTTGGCTTTTTCTACAGCAGCACGCTGGGATAATTCAAGATTACAGAGTACAAATGGGGAGCTAGGTTTGCTGGCTCCAGGTCCATTGTAAACTGGTCCATTCGCCTCAATTACAGTAGCCATAGTCAAAAGATTCAATGGGGGGAGAGAACTCCCATTATTCAACACGAACATTATATAGGGACGAGGGGAAACTGAAAAGTCAGAAAATAAGTTGGGAAGCACACTAAATAGCATAATTAATTTGATTGACATTATGTAATAAAACTTTATAAAGCAGTTAAACAGACTCCAGACCAATTCATCCTTAATAATTTATAACGTCAGCAACAGAATAGCGCTTAATATGTAACGGCTAATAATATCCCGTGACTTGCCATAACCTATGATCTAACGCTAGCTAGAGGTAGAACGCATATGTAACGAACTCAATAACTTAGTATCTAACTATTTCTTAAGCGTGAAACCACTTACTTATTACCAGAGGTGTGATCTGTATTTTACCCTAACGGTTTTAAATCTTGCTGATATCTGATAAAGCAGGTTCACGCTACTATTTGGACAAAACACCAAGCAACCAAATAGATACTTCAGGATAATTCGTGTATTGCAGGGCATTAACTATTTACAAGAGTGCCTCATAAAACAAGCTTGAATTTATATGTAGAAAGTGACTAAATTTTAACTGCTGTCTCTACTCATATAAAGACTTAATAAATCTGGTAAGTCGTACTAGAGTCAAAAACGCATACCAATCATTTCACCAAGATTTTAAAGTCTTATCAGGGTGCGAAGGGGAAGAAGGTAATAATGACTACGTATAAGCATACCTCTCATTAGTTGCGAATACTGTGGCAATAAAAGCATTCAGAAGCATCTGCGCAGAGATTTGATTAAAAACAAGAATATCTTGAATGCAATGAGAAGGGTAAACACAAACACACAGGTAGGTTAGAGAATTAGAAAGTTTTTCAATGATAGTAAATGTAGGGAATTGAATATGACGAATCGAAACTGGGCTTCAGCTACGTGGATTTTAGATCATCACTCTTAAACAGAAGACAAGTAGCGAAGCAAAACTGTCAATAACCGAGGTTTTACCACATATAATGCCGTCTATTAGGAACCTAAATATTCGGAAAAACCTACAGATCGATACTAGTATTCACATGAGCTAACTTAATTAACTTAGCTCACACTCGAGCCCTGTTATTCATGAAATTATACGTCAAAGGGAGGTGTAGATTATTTTAGAGCATAATAAATAACCACAGTTAAATATAGTGCAGAACATTTAGTTTCATAAATAACGCTGACCAACCCCGAAAACAAAGCCAACTGGTCTAAAGAAGGCGCCACACAGAGCAGGCTGAAGACCGCCAAATGAAAGATGACCTTTACGTAAAGAACACTTGTTTGAGGAACTAGAATAAACTAGTTGATATCCCTGTACTCACTACAGCATCAAAAACGATACCTTTTTCACTAGCGTCCTGGCACTGTTCTTTGTCCCTTTGTAAATTATTATTAGTTTTGGCCTTAATGAAATACTCCATTCGAGTACTGAGAAACTGTTGTACGTTACTTGTCGTGAGAAATTAATATCATTAATCAGATCGCCTATATAATGATAAAACTTGCAACTGGATCCTCATTTACTCGCAATTTCTATAATATCATCTACTTTGGAATAATATTTTCCAAAAAACACATCAGCACACTGTACTAGAGTTGCGGCTCTACTAATCACTTGTAAGTTGATTACCATAATCGTCGGCTACAATAGGGGTGATTTCATCTAGCTGCTTATGTATCTGGAACGTGATGTTTATCAATACTGGATATACTGTATTGGAAATTCTCTTAAATAAATGTTTTTCACATGGAACGTTGGTGACGTTGTGGAAGCTAAGGTGTGTACTTCTAGATTTGTCTCATTCAGCAGAAATTCTGTAAAGCTCTCTTTACAATTGCAGGGCCAGCGACTATCTACTGCCCTAAGGTAACAGTGGACATGTAGCTCAAATCAGCGGTTCCTATGTGGCCGGCTCAAATACGGATTAGAATTTTAGAGCTCCAAAATTACCTGCAGAAGTTGTATGAATAGTTTAAAATTTGAAATACTTCCAAGTGCAACTTGATCCAGATCGGTCACCATGGTACCTATAAGTAAATCGATCACAATACTCAGCTAACCGCTGTTCAGAGACACATTGACCTAAGAGTCGTTGATAGCCAAAATTTCGGAACACCTGTACGTTACCGCGTGGTAGCTGCCCAATGTTTTAAAACCCTATGATCAATAAGTAGAGATTTCAGCAATGTTTATGCTCAAGCCTGTTTAAATCTTTGTAAAGTGTTCATTCATCCTGAACTAAACCTACATCCTCTGTCATCTAAAAGGACCAGAGATGAATCATTCACAGTTTTATAACTACTTAATGCACACCATTTTTCTGTCTTTCAAAATAGAGAATCAACAAGAACATTACAAGCAAGTAAACAAACCTACAACAGATAGCTTGTAATCTGACAATGATAAACGGACCTGTTGCCTCAATTTGTTATCGAAATTTCATTTGTCTATACAATCCAAAGATATTTGCAGAGAGACAACCATCACAAACATCATGAATTGAAGTCAGTAATTTGTTTCAACTTAAAGTTCAGTAGATACCTTCTTTGTAATGAAATATGAGCTAATAAATAATGGCGACTGCTGTAGGAAAAATGAAAGATACATTGAAAAGTAGATTACTATGGATATTTAATTCTAATATTTATTACAAGTAAGTTTCCTGATATCAATATGTACGTAGAAGTGTTTGCACTGCTCTTAGTCTTTCATTTTTTTAAACATTGAACTATAAGTAAAGAAACATGTAGCTCATATCGGACCTATAAACTAACATACTACGTCCAATGATCTAATACGCATTGAGCCCCTTTACCTACATATGGAAAGCAGTACCGGTTCGCTCTTCGGTACTGCTTCTACTACGATGAAATACAGAACAATCGATTTTTACGTAGAATATGTCACTGAAAAATTTTATAAGTTAATCTAAACAAGCAAATCAGTGAATGAAAACAGAGGAATGTGGCTTTGTATAGCATTATAGCTGGAGTGAGTAGATTATTCATGAAGATTCACAGTAGTGAAGAAGTGATCACGTGAATGTACACAGGATGAGGAAATGATCCACATGGCATGAATTATTTAATTGCATTCCAACAAGTACATTTGCAAGAAATCACTTTTCCGCACGTATTTTTTCTACCTGCGTACATGACAAAAAATGGGACCACCGCGACTTAAGTTACCGGTTATCATTTACTGAAATAGTGGATGTATGTAAAACAAAAGTTATATAACATTATTCTTATTATCACCTTTGCTATTGTCCGTAGAATGTATGCCGACTACACCTGAATATTCTCTATACAATCTGATTCGTTAGTTACTACTCGAATGAATTATTGTGACACATAGTTTTCCGCAAAAAACACTATCATAGATAGACAGATACTGGCTGTCATATATCTCGTACAAAGGAGATAATGATGTAAACATAACTGCAGACATTTAGGATTTCACTGTTTCCATATTAGTAAACAGATATCATTACCTTTTCCATCTCCAATACACCCGACTAATTGACCTAAAGACGATGAAGGTTCCAGCTCTGGTTGTGACGCTGAATATGTTTGTCCACGGACCACAAATAATAATAAAAATAATGATGATATATATATATATATATATATATATATATATATATATATTGTCAAACAACAGCGTTTTGGAATAGGCACGCAAGTTTAATGGTTAGATCAAATAGTTACACCGTAAAATGTTGCACTGTTCAATTAATAATAAGTCTGTTCCTGATAGCACATTTACACGATGTAACTAGCAGGAACAGCATGATACATCCACATTTTCAACAAATGAGTACAAATAGGCTAGGTACACAGTAGAGCCCTTGGGTGATTCGCATAATTCATGAGTGAATTTGATTGGAAAGTATCAAACGGCACTCGGTATAATCTGCGACCTAGACGTGCGCGCACGTAACGTGCATTTCGCATGGAGGCAACATGGTAGTTCCACTGAGAATAGGTTCCTAAAAGGGAAAATAGAGGGGTAAGAGAAAAACAGAGCGACGAGGCAGTCATATATATATATATATATATATATATATATATATAAACCAGACCATTGCTTAACCATTCATGGTGAAGTAGTCAACGCAGTGGTAAGTTAAGGCGAAATCCATACATACCATTAAAATTATAGTAAATCGTAGTAATAAAGCCCAAAAATTAAGGAGTATATATACGAGGAAAAATGGGTTGTGAGGGGTGTCAAATTGATAGAAGAGAAATTGAAGTAAGAAGCTGTATGTTTGTACATTGTAGACGAAAGTCCAGGACGGAGGGTAAAGTTGGCAAAACACATTGACAATTATATTGCGCATTGTCTATCTTTTTGTTCCACACCAAATGCCAATCTCCAAGTCATACTGCAGTGCCTGGGTAGACATGTTGCATGTCATGGCAGAATATCTATCCCAGCATATTATTGAAACCATGATTTTCCGTAGTAGAAAACGTAATAGTCCAACCTCACTGTCACTGATTAGCTTCTTAATTATTGACAGTGAGCCGGACGCAAAAAAATGTTCTTCCCCATCAATGTTTGCCGGGCTCATTTAAAGTTATCGTAAGATAATATTTTATATTCCACTCGAGGTTCTATATTTCACATCCTGTTGAGAAACACCATTTCTGCAAGTTGCTTATAGAAGCTTGTCTTGCTGTCGTAACTTATGACTCACTCGCCAGGCATCAACACGATACAGTTAACAGTTATGGAGAAAAGAGCACAGGTTTCCAAACAGACTATGAATATCGAGGATGTTGTGGCAGAAATATGTTTAATGAAGTAAGTGGATATTCGTTCCAATAAACCGTTACCCTGGTTGCCTGCAGACTCAATAACAGACTTTTGTAAAATGACCCCTCACTTTATAAACACTCAGAGTGATCGCGAATGATCCAAGACCTAAAAATGAAGTGTATCTCGATAAAGAACTGTTTCTAGAACTGCGGAAACATAAAACCCGAATTATCCTTCGTACCACAACAACCATAGCAAGTCCTCCAGAAAGAGTAGGTAACCCTGTATTCCCGCTAGCAGATATCTGTCACAAACACTGCGGAAATTTGTCTTGCTGAGACATGTTAACAGTACTTGTTACCGGTGGGTACAAATATCTCTTATACACTACTGATATGGTGACGAAGGTTAGCTATCTCGTCAAAATTGGTCCAGAATTTGGCATCCTTCCTAAGGATACTAAAGATTGGACCCAGTATCTAGTAATCAGCCTACAAGTGACAAACGGATAACCAATCTCCATATATGGAAAAAGATACTTTTAGTACGATTCGGGTTTGCGCCGATTTTTTGTTATGTCATAAGTCTCCTTGCCATAGATCTTCTGAGACATCGTTGGCTCAGACGGAGGATAGTAGATAGCAACACTTTATTATCTGTTTGTGGAATTTCACTTTGTGATTGTAGATTGTGTCCAGTATCGTCTAGACATAAAATTAATCAGTTCCTTCAACCAATAGACGAAAACTACTCGGGACCGCACCTGACACAGCTGCAAGTAACGTGTGTAGCCAGTGGTGCTATACGTCATATCACGACTATAGGAATATCTGTGTTCTAGAAACCTCACTGACTAGCGCATGAAAGTCTAAAACTGGTCACAAATGAATTCAACCATAGGAAAGAGTCAGGAATTACCTAATTATTACACAGCCCTTAAGCATGTTCATTGCACAATTGTCGTCCAGATGCTGGTCATCGACGATTCATTACAGAAAACACACTCAGTCGTTACTTGTTGGCTCATAACCACGACTCGACAAACACAATTGTCTTTTCAAAAATCGACTTGGCCGAGCATATAACAAAAATCTATAGTCACTCCTTTTGGAATGTATGAATTTCGCCTTATCGTAAGTTCAGGCAGAGCACTTATTCTCTGGCATCTAGACCTTGTTATCCGACAACTCCAAAAAAGCAAGAATTGCCAATAACGCAGAAATGTTTGATGGGGACCGACTTGCAAGATTTTCTTGGGGATAATTCTGACACTCATGGTATTCATCCGCTAGAAGATAAAGTAGCGGCCATTATGGATCATCTAGAACTGGTCATGTTCATAGGACTGGTAAGTTTTGATCGACCATAATTAGCCCTCAACCAAAAAGCTATAAAGAAATGTGATGACCATAAACTTAGACAAAATAGAGAAATAAGCATATTCTAAAGTACCGGAACATATCTCCAGGTCAACTATTCCAATACGAATCGTCATGAAACCATCCATTAGCATTGGGATAGATGTATCTGACCCAGCAATCGGAGAAGTTTTGCAACAATGGGTAGACAATACTAGGCAACCTTTGGTATTCTTCCAGAGGTGGTTAGAAGACAGTGGATAGAAGTATAGTATTTTCACCAAACAACTATCCGTGTACTGCGCTTTACTGCACTTTCAACAGTCTATGGAAGACCAACTGTTACCCTTGTTCAATGATGCCGGAAACTTAGCGTTCTCTGTTACCCAGTCTTCAGTCAAAAACTTTTCTAAAGAGCCCTGACATAAAGGGAATCACATCTTGTTGTTTATTTCACATCTATGAAGGTAAAGGAAATTTTGCTTTCGGAAACTCTACAGGTTGGGATCTTTCAATCGTGACTAAAACATTTTTGACACAATGTCTATCAAACATTAAACACTTTTCGCATCTAACCACTGGGCTCATAGCACAACGGGCTTCCGGTCTCGTTTTGAGCGAAAAGGTGAAGTGGATCAGTTTCTGTATAGGCTGCCAGAAATCTAAGGTGATGAGCGTAGAAATATGCTTCCTAGGACCTTTATAAATCCCTGATACCCACTTCAAACATGATGAACTGCATACTGATACCTTTTGATGTTTTTGTACCGTATCACACGATGGTAAGAAGCAGTACCCGTCGAAAATATTACTGCTAGAATAGCGACGAGCCACATCGTCAAACACTGAGTAACAAACTTAGTTGGTATCCTGTTACAAGCCCAGAATAACTCACTCTTACAGGAATGTAAGGTCTCTAAAACGTCTAAACGATTACTGAATGTGGGACACTTTCTAAGTTCATTCCTTCTACAGTCATTAGCAGTAGTTTATTTGAATTTTTAAGTTTTACTGCGTAAAAAATAATAACCTCTCTAAATTATGTCTCTCAATGCTACTAATGTGAAAATGTTTGTGTATGTGACAAAAAACCTTTTTTCTGATATGGGAAATATATACCTATAGGTACGCGTCATTCTTGCACACCAAGGTTACTTAGATAAGTATGGGTGTGCTTCGAAACGAGTCTAAACTTCATTCTTCCGAAAGGAAGAATGAAAACTTAGAGTAAGCTTGTTTGAGGCGATGATATGCAGTGGTAGCTAAACTTCGACCTTTTAGCATAGGCCTCGTCTCGAATGGTATAGATTTTAAATAATACAAACTAAAGAATCATTTAAAACAAATGAGAGGAAGAAAATCAACTGTTTTATACTGGCTCGTGAAAAAATACTGCATATGTCGACTCCGAACGATATTCGTTTTCCGCCGTTTTACAAACAGTAGCGTTACCTTCTGAATGTTGCTTGATGAAACTCAAAACCTATGCGTCGAAAATACCGACTAGTTGTTCTCGGTAGTGGAGGAGTAGGCAAAAGTGCTTTAACAGTGAAGTTTGTCTCTGGAAAGTTTGTGGAAAAATATGACCCAACAATTGAAGATTTTTATCGTAAAGACATCCTGTAAGTCTTAGTAGGAGTTATGTCGTCTTCACTGTTACGTCGTAGTTATTATTCATTCTGAGTATAAAGTGCAGATCTCTCTACATTCAATACGTTGCATATATCCGTATCCAATATTTAATTCGACTAGCGGAATAACTTTATTGTGTTTTTCATTTGTCTGTTTTTCCTTTTTTTACTGCTCACAGTTGCAGAACAGTAATTAACTGAATTAATTGATAAATAAGTATTATTACTCTGGAAGGCAAAAATACTGGATATTTGGTATAAGTACTTGGTGCCACTTTACTATGAATTATGTCGAATAAATGATAAAACCTATTTCATAGATGAAACTAGCAAAATCTACATTGTTACGCACCCACATAGTTAAACCTAGCTTTTGGACGGACCTCAATAACTCACACTGAACGGAGTAATTTAGCCCTATAACTATCCCTTTCGTAAAACATTGTAATTCAGTAAATATACCTATTACGTCCATTTCCGCGCTTATACAGCTAATGTGTGCTTGTGTGTATGTTTTTACACATATTTTAGATGTCCGTCTCCTTGTTGCACTACGCATTGTATATTTCGTGTTATACTAAAACTTGTAACGATTAATATTTTGAGTAAGTACGTTTGCTTTCACTTCATCTTTCTGCCGAAGTAAACGTATTGACTATGGTTATTTGAAACATTCCTATTTGAATCTTTGTAGCCGTGTTATTATCAACGGAATTTGTCGACAGAACCGTTGTAAGTAAAATCCGCAGTTAGTCTTCATCACAAACGATTTGATCATATTGGAGTCACATTGCGTCTACTACACTTACGGTTGAAAATCACCGACTTGCGTTTCTGGATCCGCTCCACGACTTTGTCAGGCATCAATCCAGTAGGAGTGATAAGGGCTACAAAATAAGTGAAGCCGTTAATGCGCTCAACTGATTTGCTCCGTATAGCTAGTTTAGGAGTTAACGTACAACAGTCACGAAACATTTTGCATTTATGATTATACCACTCCAAAATTTCTTTGTTTATCTAAGCTACCAAAAGACTGCATTTCGTGATCTGCATATTCTAAGTCAACAAGCGAATCTTCTGGTAGATCAATTCTTAAAATTTCAGATAGCAGTATTATCATCTAAAGGATGTTTGTGACAAGATATGCAAATTGAGGGAACCTTATGAATGTCAATTAATATTCTCAATTCTGATTAAGACTCTCCATAAGCTTTGGTATGACCAGCAGTATTTGATTATAGATCATTGAAGTACCGAACTCTTAGTCAGTATGTAAGTGTTTTTCCCTCCTAATTATCAAACCAACCTGCGGTTAGAACTTTTACGTGGTCGTTTACATGGAGCTTGGAAAGTTAGCACACAGGATCTCAATCTAGTTACCAAGTCGTGATAATAACAATCATTCTTACATTACTTGAGATCATGCTAGGTTCCTGTGAAATTGTTGAAAACTTGGAATAAAAATCAAAGGATTCCAAGCACTTTATCTGGGCTAGTTACTGTGTAATGATTCGTTCCTTCGTGATATACTATGAACCCCATGTAAAGCGCAATTAAAAGTGAAAACGAAAATGTGGATGAATACTTGTCTAGGAGATCGTTATGAGTGAAGGCTAGAGACTGAAATCTTAGAGTCGTCATGTAAGTAGCCAGTGAAAGCTAGTGAATAAAGCCTATTGAAAGATAAGTAAATGGTACATTACCAGAGAAGAAAATTAAAATGATCAGCAGTGGGGTTCGATCATCAAAGTAATAAACTTGTTACATATTTATTTGGACTGCTTTTACAATTAACCTCTAGAAAAAATGGTCCTAAGTTTCTCAAATTATGACCAGTATATGGAGTAATTTACTATTGGTTTGTGCTGAATCGTCTAAGCAGACGTAATATTGATTTTCTAATTTAATGATTAGAGATATTAAGTTTGACTGTATGCATATATTGACACCTGATAATTTCCTTACCTTAATCTTTATTATTGTCTGTCTGTCCCTTTTATTATAGATTCTGTACATATTTTCTTATATGTTAGAAAGATGACGCCTTTAACTGATACGATGTACTAAGTTGTTAGATCAGTCAATTAACCCTTACAAGCGTTGTAGGATTATGGTGATGAAGTATCAGCAATTTTTCTGATTTGATTTAAAGTCCTGTTGGTGGGTCTGGGCTATTAAATCGGGCTCCGCACTATAATCGTGACCAACATATGATTCAAAGCTAATTACAATGGAAAATATACAGTCACTTGTTATCGCCTGAGTATTGGGTTCCAGCATTGATTCCCCGACTGTGGCTGAAACCTTGACATGGCTGCCTATCGGGATGACTCAATCGATCTATATTGGCTGGAACACATTTCCGTAAGTCCTACCATACCGGGCAGATCGGTTGGAGTACAGTAAAACTAAAAGCAGTAAATTATGGTGTGGGGATGAAGTCGTACTGCTGACCGTAAATGGGTGTGACAACAGTAGGATATTTCCTTCGAACAACCAGCATCTACAGTGATCCTGAAGTTGTTTCTTGGGCTTTACAGTTACTTCCCTAAATCACTAAAATCAACACTAATTGATTTACCATTCTAGATCTCTCACGCGGAATATCATTCTACAGTGAAGGTAACAAATAATAGCGACCGTCTGCAGAAAATATGTTCAGATAATCATCTATTACTAACAAGCACCAATTTCAAACATACGAAAAAACATCTTTTGACTTGGAAACCCACACAACTCAATACTGGACTCAAATATACCAAGTTCCCATCAGTTATTGCTGAAAATGTTCGACAGAAGACTAAAACTCACTGCGAAACACATGTTTAGACTCAAATCATGTTCCAGTACTAGCACTTATTTGTTTACGTCTTACTGAATGTACAAATCCACAACAAGCAAATCTACTTGGAGTTCAACTTAATAATAAAAAAAGTCAAGAATAAATCTCACAAACAACTAAAAAACCATTTAGTAGCCAGGTAAGCGATATCCACTGCAAAGCAGCTTGACATGATATCTAGAAAGCTGTGAAAACAACAGTGATATCTGTTGGTAAAGCTAATGGATTTCAGCGGCATCTACTGCAGTGACAGATGCTCGGAAACCCATTCGATAAAGAGAGGGACCAGCTTAAATACTTTACGATAAAAAGCCTGCATTATGATCATGAGAAACAAATGGGGTGGAAAAGGTAATGCCATAAGGTTACGGTATATAACTATTCAGACTTACCAAAGAAACGGGTTGTAAGAATGCTGGTATTGGTAAGACCGTATCGGAAAAAGGCGGGATTGTTGTTCACTCAACTTCGCCTGAAACCCTTCCGAGGTAACCTCCGGCCTTAAGCCTGGATGAGAGTTAAGTATGGGGTTAACGGCCACGTCCAGTAGAAAACCAACTCGCTAAAGGGGACGAAGTGGTGAATCTTGATCATCAGAGGTGGTTCGGATGTGTGTTACGTATGCCGAACCATCGACTCTCTGGGCGAGCGTTGTCTTGCGGTGTAGGGATAGGCTGGAAGAAAGCTAGGGTCGGCCAAACCAAAACATGGCACAAATGCATGAAGTTACTGACTGCTGGATTGAGCCATATTGGTAGATGTAGACTACCTAGTTCGGGTCCGTGAGACAATCGTAACGGATGGTTAGAGACTTTGAATGACATGGCTCAAAATTGGTTACAGTGGCACAGGTGCATCCGTTCTCTGTCTTGCCCTAGATTTTAGGCTTCATAATTCCTCATAATTTCTTTCTGAAAATTTATCCGCTGATTATCTTTCCTTGAATCTTATCTCCAGTTCCCGTTCTTCTCCATTACCACTAATACTATTTCTAACTCTACTCTAAAATTTTGCCTGAGGATTTTTTATACTAATTCTTTACACTAACGGGATAGGGCAACTTAAACTAATGTACGTACCAAGTCGTATGTTTCAACTAACTAACTCATTCTTGTTTTTACTCAATCGATTTCTCCTTTTTAAACGGTACTGTCCATATATGATCGTTTCCACTATCATTTGTGCGATTATTTTGGTTTTTTTCTGTTCATCCTGTTGATTTTACTTAATTGTGCTGGCGTGATGTGGTGTTTTGGTCATGTATTGATTGCAGTTTTCTGTTGGCTGTTTTTTATTTGCCTGAAGAATTTATTTAAAGCAAGTAAATTTCAATTCCAAAGAAATTGACATGAACATAAAATTTTAGGGTGTAATTTATGAACTTTAAAGTTCTTTATTTAATCTTTCCTCATTTATTTTTATCTTACGTTAGTTTCAGAGTCTTTTTTACAACTGATAAAATCGGTATTAAAGATAATTTCTTGTTTTGTTTTTAGTGTTATTAATATTGGATTTATTTTTACCGTAAATTAACATTCTTAGTAAATAAATGTATTTGCAAATTTTACATTCAGGGTTGATGGTGTTCACCATACTCTAGAGATTTTGGATACTGCTGGAACTGAACAATTTTCTTCTTTGAGGGATTTGTACATACGAAATGGCCAGTGCTTTTTAGTTGTTTATAATCTAGCCAGCCGTCAAACATTTAGTGATATACGTAATATGAGAGATAACATATTAAGAGTGAAGGGTCTTCAACCGGGTTCTGTAAAATCTGTACCCATAGTCCTTGTCGGGAATAAAGCTGATTTGGCAGTAAACGGTCATCGAGAAATTGACCCACAAGAGTCTGAAACACTCGCAGCCCAGTGGTGCTGCCCACATCTAGAGACATCTGCAAGAGATGATGTTGGAGTAAATGAAGCATTTTTAGAAGCAGTACGTCAGGTAAGATTTGGATATCTTCACAAATATTTTTTATGGACAGATATATTTATTCTAAAGTAGTTCTAGTTTAGGGCAATACGTTCATCGCATCTCTGTTTTCATCATTCAGTACGTTCTCAAAAATCGGGGTCTCTAACTGTCTCGTCGTCTGACATCATTTTAACTGTGTTAAATTCTTAGCTATAATTGTGTCCGTGCACGATATTCCCAAATTCAGCCCATTACCAGTCATCTGGTCAATAAACTAGCGGTTTAGAAACAATGTGATCCCGTGTATTCTGTTTTTTTTATCTAAAAGAGAGGCCGATGGTCGTCTTGACTCCCTATGAGTCCTTGAAGTCTTAATGACTTTCAGTCAAATGCTTAAAGACATCCGAATAATCTTTTGCTGATTTTCACCTAAGCCGATGATATTATCTTCAGAAATAATCTTAGTTTTGGTCCTCTAACCAAATATTACTAGGTAATGATTTAGTCACTAGATTAAAAATAAAGCTGCCATAAAAGATCCCACATATGAACGCCAAAATATTCGAACTTTCATGGTACTTTAACATTGAGTATTGAAACAATAGTTCTTATTTTCAAAAGTTCTCATCACTGTTTTCAACTTAAAATGGATTATTAAAAGCTATTTCCAAGCGCTTTCTGTTACTTATTTGTAAATCTCACCTTTCTCAACTAACTAAAAGCAGAATAAACTTTATTTTCTTGTAATTATGGAGCTATGAAAAAATGTTGGATGTCATAAAGCTTGTGACTAAGATGTAGACTGTTGTATCCCACTAGTTTTTACATATGATTTAAATTATCTGTTAAATAAACATCTATACTTACGTAATTTATATCTGGAAATGTATACATATGTACAAAATAATTGAGTCGTAGTATATATATATATATATATGTATATATATACTACTGTAGATTGTAAACATTTTATGAAAGCGAATTAGTACACACAGTTATCATGTAAAATTATTTAAATAAAATAAATAGAAAGCAAACATTTCCAACAATAAACACACACACAAAAAAATATGTAGTCCACAAGTTTAAGCAGTTGACCACTATTCCTGCTCAAGTTAAAGTAATTTGAACAGATAAATTAGTATCACTAACACTGTGCAAAAAATGCATAATTCATAATCAAAGGCGTTAATTCATAATCTTTACAAAGTCGAATTCTAGGTTAATTAGTGTTCATCTTTAATTCTACATGAAAAAACGTTTGACAGCCTATTATTTAGCTTGGGAATTAGCACTAATATATCAAATTTATAATGATGATTAGAATTTTTCTTTACATACATGCTAATAATAATATGATGTATGTAAATGGAAAGTTCCAAAAGATGATGCACATTCTATATATCCACTCTAAATGTATTGTGCTTATTTCGTACCATAGGAATGGGATTATTGTTAGATAAATTAGTCGATATTATTCTCTTCAATGTTTTACTGTCAGTCATTTTCAATGTTCATCAGTCAGTTAGTTACAATGTAGAACTTCGTACGTACATACAAAAGTTCAGGTTTCCATACCACCTTATCACAGAGACGCAATTGTCAGTTCAAATCCCATAGTGGTAAAGATAACGGATGTATTAGTGGTAATGGAGGAAATTAGGATTCGAAGATATTATCCAAGCATATTTCAGTGAGATAAACTTAGAAAGAGAAAGACAGAGGTGATGAGGTATTCAGAAGATTAGAATTTCAGAGAACATAAAGAGTGGATGCACTTGCGCCACTGCAAACAATTGTGAGTTATGTCGTTCAAGGTCTCTAACCATCGGCTACTATCGTTTCGCGTTCTCCAACCAGGTAGTCTACATCTACCAACATGACTCAGTCCACTTGTCAGTGATTTCATGGATTTCTGCCATGTTTTGGTTTGGCCACCCCTAGCTTACACCACAAAACATAGCTGATATCTGTGTGACTTAATTGGGTCCAGCGTTGTGACGACTTCGGGGATCGCCAGGTCAAGAAATGTTTTTTCCTTTTGCTTAAAGTTAGTGCTTGCTCTAAATGGGGGATCATCAAAGCATAGTTGCGGCAGACAATTGCCATTATCTTTTCTTTGATCCGCGAAACCATAAGATCCACTTAAGTGTCTGTGATTTTCACTTAGTCTGCCTACTTGAGCAGTTAAGTCACCAACCATTATCACTGTATCATAGCGCCTCATGTCGTGGAGGAGGTCCGAAAGCTTTCTGTAAAACTCATCTCTCATCTCGTCTGGACTGCAGTCAGTGGGGGCATAGGCAGATACGACGAAGAGGCAACGGCGAGTGTTCCTATTTTTCCAAGTTTCTACTGTTTGTTTAATCAAACAGCTCACAAGCGACTATCTATTGTGATCCAGTATAGGAGAGCTAGTTCTGCCCTAGAAATCAATTCTATACATACACCAGCGGGACCCTGGGAAGCAAAAACAGATCTTCCAGATACGCAAAAATGAATTCGAGCCGGTTATTTATTTTGACATGGTGAGGTCAAGTGAATGATGCTACTCGGATCTTGTATGCGCGTTTCAAAGACTTTTATGTTTTCGCGCCAAAGACGCTTAGTTGATCTTCAGCTTACATCAGCATACATCGAGAGTCCTAGCTAAGGAAGCCTGTTGTCCTTTTTTACACAATGCGCGAACATTAAAAGCTCCAACATGTAATTTAGAACGAAGTTTTAGGAGACCTGGAATAACGCTTCGTGAACTCGAATCGTTTACCTTAGTGGTGCAGGGTGATAAAGGAATGTGCGGAGGTTGAGTCGTAGGGATAAGTGAGATGTTAGAGGGTGTAGGTAGGATTTGACTGTGACCGATTCGGTCTCATGTGCTGTTCATCATCATCATACTCAACGGAAAACCCTCTTAATACTATATTCAATATTCATAACTATTTCTTTATCTCGTAGTATTTATTGTTGTGACTCAATCAAATGTTATTAGTTTTGAATAATCTGTTCAAGTTGATGTTACTATAAAGACTATTGAATGTATGATTATTCTGTTCTTTATAATTTAATTGTTAGTATTATCCTTTCTTAATCAGACTTCAATTTTAAATAATAATTCGCTGATTTTAATTAATACTTTATGTCATGACACGTTCTATGTTTATTCATCATTTAAAAATTAACAATATTTTTTTATTGATTTATTTTGTTGGTTTTCATTTTCTTTCATTTTAATGATTTATTTTATTGGTTTTTTTTTTAAAAAATTTATTTCAGCTTTTAATGCTTGAACCGAAACGTCGAACCTTGTGTCTAGTTCTATAGACAACAAGTACTACTTTTATATGTAATTAAATAATGTATTGGCACGAAAACACACATGTATGCGTACACACCTTACAAGAAGGCGACAGAACAAACAGTTTTTGTTATATATATATATATATATATATATATATATATATATATATATATTGATTGATTGACACAAATAAAATGTGCTTTCAATTCACATCAATTCATTGCAAATGTATTCATGAAAAATCATTGTTCATATGTTTTATTAAGCTGTAGTATTATTATTGTTTTTTTTCAATCGGTTATTTGGTTTCTGTCATCACCCCAATATTATTATTATTATTATTATTATGAAAAGAGAAAAAATGTGCCTTTTCAGTGTAAAAATCACAATTCCTGTCGTTTCCCCAGTTTTTTTTTTCAATTTTTATTCTCACTTCAATTGTTCTTTATTGCTTTTGTGTTATGAGACCAACTATTATTAATGATGTGTATAATTTTGTGTATCATACACATTCATACAAGCTAGTTATTTTCTCTGTATTTCTTCTTTTCTGTTTCCCCCTATGTTTTTTGTGCCAATTTTTATATTCTTTTTTTGCTGCCTTAGATTCTGGTGCCTTAACTGTTTAATATATTTGTTTACATTAATGTTTATCTTTTACACATTTTCACTATTAGTTTGGCACGGAAATATGATTATTGCATCAAAATTATAACCGATATTTTGTTTGTTTTGCTAGTCATCAATTGAAAACGTGTTGACAAGGACAACAACAACAACAATATGCTGTAGAAATTCATTCACACACACACACACACACGCATACAACATATATATATGCGCTAAATGTGTGTGTGCATATATATATATATCTTTACAATTATTACTAAACACCTTTTCACTGTCATCATTATATGAAGTTATTTGAACTTTTGTTTGTAAAGCCAAAATTTTTTTTCGTGTGTGAGATATTCCTACTGTTCGTTTTCATTTTTCTTTGATGAAAGGAACAATCAAAAGAAAATTTATCTATTTCTATCTATAATAACAGCTGAGCTGACAAGGTTATTCAATAGTAATTTTTGTTAGTTATCTGTATGTGTAATATGAACTCTGCTCATAAATCATTAGTTTTTTTAAAAAAAAATAGAAAAGAATGTCTAGCCTTATTCTAACTTTAGTAAAATGCCTTTTGTTTAATTTATCATTACGGATTATTTTATAGTTAGTTGGGTTTTTTTCAATTACACACACACATCGGTGTATGTGACCAAAATATTCTTCTCTTAGTTAGCTGTTTCACTTTTCATTCTTTTCATAATGCATTTATTATTATTATCATTATTATTACTATTATTAGTATTGTTGGTATTATTAGTATTAATTTCATAACATATTCATCATGAATATGTCATACGATTCTGGTTTATTCTGATTAATTTATTTCATAAGTTATGTGTTTTAAAAAACAAACAACAAGAAAGGCATGATGATTATTTTTTTTTTCCTGAATTTGATCAATCCCATTAATAATTTCATATATACACTCTTTATGGTAATTTCGTGTAAGTTTACGCGTTGAAAATGAAATAATACACACTTTTTAATCATGGATCTAAATAGTGTTTGTTTTTTTCTCTTTGTATATTCAATTGGTTGTTAGCTTGATTAATTTAATTGCCTACTATTCTAATTCATTATTACTACATAGTATGCAATAAGAAAAGTTTGTTTTTGCAAGAAAAAAGAATTCTGATAAGCTAGTAGTCAACGAGAATCTCTTTAATGGGACGATTTACATTGAATTATTTAAAAATACTCAAATTTGCTTTACTTAATTTAAATATTCATACAAAAATTGCTTATTATCAATCCCAAACTATCTAGATTTTTCTCTGCATAATCAAGTTCACTGATTTTTTTTTCTGTACATGACAAAACTCAATGATCAATTTAAATCTCATTGTCTTCATTTGCCTTATTGAGGAGTTATGAAGATAATGAACTCGGAGGGATAGATGAAATGTGATGGATTTTCAAATCTAATAAATTATACCGCGCTTCGAGTTGTAAACTTTTTATCAATATCTTGTTAAGATTTCGAGAAAGTTATCTATCAATGGCTGATAATTGTTAATCATCATGTCTTTCTAGATGTTATATTGCAGTTATTCGAAGATTAGTTAATATGTCTTATTAAGTGTTTTTTTCAGCGATTGAGTTAGAGTTACCTGAACTGAACTGATTTGGCTTTGTTAGCATAAGTTCATCGTATACGGATACCTGTATTGTGTTTTAAACGATGTGTGTTGGTTTTTCCATGCAGCTGAAAAGCTGGATACAAAAAATACACTAAATTTATTCCTATCCGAAATCAAGTCCAATTAAGACAGAGGAATGTAGGTCACTCAATTCAGCGTTCTTTCTGAGTTACCATTCGAAACGAAAAAGTCGAGATCAACTGTAATCTTATGGATTGAGACATATGTTGAAAAAAAATGATACTTATTGTGGTGGTTTTCCTATGTTAGATCCTTTAATATCCTTATGATTGCTCGATTTTATCGTTTCCTGTAGGTCGTTTATCGATCTCATATCGTACATTTTGTGTTCAGCTGAGATGGAAATAATCGACAATTTCAAGTTGTAATAAGCATTACGTAAATTGTGCTCTCCAATGATCCTCTGACTTTTCCATTTGTTTATATCACGTTAGTTTTTTCGAAAAATTTTGATAAAACAATCAACCTCAAATGGCCTACAAATCTACAGTTTCTTATTTACTGTATTATGAAATAAATTGGAAGGCTTTAAGAAGCTGAACTCATCTTAGGTCTACATCATAATTTTAATCGGATCGGCTTATGTAAATATAACTGTCAGATTTGTTCATTTAAGTCTAATTTTTGACTTAAAAGTCCATTTTACCCGTTAGAATAACATGAAATATATTAAACCATTTCATGAATAATCTCATTCTTCAAATAGGACTAAGCACAAACCAAATTTATATATGGATATTTGTAGTTATAGGGTTAAACTACTTGTAAGTAGTTGTAAAATAGACCGCTAAAGTATTTCTCTAGATGTTCAACATAAACTAGCTACTTTACTTAAGTTTTTGAAACCATTGGTCTAATTTATTATGCTACACATGTCAAACTACAAATAAGTACCTCCATTCTGGATTATATTCAGTGCATTAGTCATGAACTATTAATTCTTTTGCTGTACGGACGATGTATTAAGCGTCGTTCCCAGTGTCACATTGGGTCATTGAAAATCACCTCGATAAAACGGGAACAGCACGGAACTATGGAAGCAATAGTTGAAACGATAGGTCAGTCAGGTAAGTTACCAAAGCACATCCATCCATATTCTGTACTGTTAAGCTGAAACTTCGATTGTGCATACCACTGGGTTGCTTGACTGAGCTCCATGATGACGCAGTTTCCTGTATTGTTCTGCTGATGGAAGGAGAATGAATAACCTACCTTAATACCACCTACTTATAACAGAGGCTTGTCTGCACAGAAGTAACTGCAAATATCATCTGTATAAGCTAAAGGAGCAAGGCACCTAACACACTACCTCGTATAACCCCACTTATGACCGGAACAGTATCTGAAAATGAGGCTGTTATCTTGACGATTTAGTGTTTGTGATTGAGAAAAGAATTAAACCAAGCAATGAGAGGGTTTCCGATTCCATAAGACGTGAGATCGCCTGTAAGTAGCTAGCAGTAAGCGCTGTCTATAGGTTTAGAAAAGTCAGAGTATAACACGAAGACTAGATGTCCGCGGTTATGTTGAGTAAGGATAACTGAAAAAGTCAGAGTGAAATGTCATACGGGATCAATTTTTAAGAAAGACATATTGTGAATCAGTGATAAGTTTCTCAGTAGGTAAATACTTGTCCAGTTCACCACGAACAGTTATTATCCTAAAGATAACTGGGAGGGAATGGATGGAATCTCGTCTATTACAGGCCATTGAGAATTCAAGCGCGTTGATAATTTACTTATTACTAGACAATGAAAGAAAAATAACTTTTGAATTAAGAGTCACATAAAAGGTTTTTGAAAGAGTGGTTAATGACGCTAGTTACCTTTAATGGAGCATAGTCAGCTAGACGACTTTCTATAACCTACGTTGTAATGCTCATCTCTGATTCTCCTGTAACTCAGGGGGAATAATCCCAAGTGCTCGAGTCTGTCTTCGTAAGGTTTGTTCTTCAACCTTCTATGCACTCGATCCAAGAGATTTATGTCTCTTTCGATTAGAGACTCACGTTACCCTCAACGGAGCATGGGCAGCTAGACAACTTTCTCCAACCTACATAGTAATGTTCACTTTCTTTGTTTTGGATGATGATCGACGACCCTGTGATTCCCGTCCTTTCGGTGTATTTGGTGCTTGTTTGGAAAGGAACAGTGCATCCCTTTGTGTATGTGAGGCGATTTAATCTTCATGACCGGAGTATGACGGCATCTGTCCTGTAGCTAGTCTTGGTGTCTAAACTGCGTGCAATGTGCTTTGCGAATTTCAAGTACCACCAGGTTGTATCTGTTCATTTCAGCAGCAACTTGAGTACTTTCTACTGTCTCCTATATTGTTCAAACATTCTATGTACGTTTATGAATTGTTTCTCTGATTGTCAGAAGTGCTATCGACCTCGTGACTCGCGTTGGAACTGAGCTTTCATCATGAGACGTTATAACTCTTCCGAATAAATACATTATAACTATCAGGTCATAGTTAAAATGGTTTGAATAAGTTTTACAACGTTTAAATAATTATTTTATAATCATTTTAACATGTACTCAGATTAAAATCAGTCAATGAGAATTTACCGAATAAATGAGTTCATGCTCTTATGCTACCACTTTTGTTCTTTCTGTATTTCCATGATACTTTGAATGCGAAATAATGCTCAGTTTATTCATCATGAGAGAGTCGCGTAAAAGAACATTATTTGGACGCAATTCTTTCACAGTAGAACACTAAGTGAAACAAATTTTGTT